GGGGGGGTCATGTATGTCCTGTGCACCCTGGCGGTTCTGACGCTCCACAACCTGATTAAGAACCGGAACAAACCGGAGCAAAGCCAGTCCACCGAGGCTGCGGGACGGGAAGGTCGTCGGAAGGATGGGGGCGCCGGCGCCGGGTGCTGGGGGACGTCCGGGCCCCGGGATCGAGTGGATGGATCAATGAACCGCAGAGCTGAGGGGAGGAGGAGGCGAGGGGGCATACGCAACCTCCCTAACGGCAGGCGGCATGTCCAGGTGAGGAAGAGCGCGAGGTTCAATTCTTGAAAATATTAAAACATAAAAACTTTAAAACAAGTTTGGGAAACGGGGGACTCAAACTTTTAGTTACTTTTAGTTACATTTTAGGTGAGTGTGAGTCTGCACTTATTAAGGATTGACACCCTGATTTGATCTGGAACGCGCTCGATCAGTAAAGCTGCACCTCCGAGTGTAAAGTTGAACCCTTGTGTACCAAACGAGTGACGTGCAGCAGAGAGACTTCACAAAAACGAGCATCAAGATCTTTGCAAAGGTCTTAAAGTAAAATAAAATACTTTATTTTACTGATTATTGTTTTTAGACTGATTTGTTTACATGTAGAAATATTTTTACTTCATTTCAGTATCGTTGGCCTGACTTCAGCTGGACCATCAGGTGAACTGGACCATTTGTAGCCTGAAGCTTTTACACCTTTAATTTGGTCAAATTAGTTAAATAATAGAATATATCACTGCGTTTAAACAAGTAAATCTTTTTTAAATTATGATTTTGTTTCCATGAAAACGTGATGAGTCTATAATCTGAATGCGACATTTGTTAACAGTAAAAAATAAATAAAAAAATCATAAAACAAAAAATCTGAGCCAACAGTAGAAACTGAATTTGTGTTTCTACTGTGTGCAGGAAGATGGCGCATAAACATGATCGTCATTATTTTTAAATCAAAGAAGTAAATGTTCTTAAAACTGTAACCATGACGATCACAGCAGCAGTTATGAGAGCTCGGTGTGTTTTTGTCCTCGACGTTTCGATGTTTGTGAAATCTGCTTTGGTGAATTTTTTAATTTTTTTTTAATTTTGTATTTTATTAGTGAACAAGCTGCTCTTATTTTGAAAAGTCAGCCACTGCTAACCAGTTAAAGGTAAAACATTTGAAATCCACTGAGGAGAACATGATGCACAGGATGCTTGAATCTAACGCGACTTTATTTGTGCCAAAAAAATGGTCGTGTACCAAAAACTGACTGCTTGTATTTTAACTGCTATAAATAACTGGTTGGACTATAATATGTGAAACATGTCCCTCATGAATGATATCAAGTCATTTTGAGCCACAAACAACATTCCTGTAACAAAGTAGAAGCTGCATCAGTTTTTGGCAGACACTTTTATATATCCTTTATTTATCCAGTTAAAAAAAAATCTTGTTGTTATTAAAAAATTTATTTTTTAAGAGTAATCTGGCCAAGAGGACAGCTGACAGTGCAACAAATGTAACAATAGTTATGTAAACATATTTTAAGTGGACAAGAAGGACTGGATTAGTTACAAAGTAACACAGAGTTATAAAGAAAAACAGGTCATTTTTAAATGTTATATTTAGACTTCAGTGAAGTCTATTTACAAACACATGTTAAGATATTACACATAAAAAAAACACACAGAAACTTTGGAAATCACTTTTTGGCACAACACCGGCTCTGAGGCCCTGAACGAGTCCTTTCACCAGTGTATGAATGCGAGAGTGAATGAATAGTGGCATTGTAAAGCGCTTTGGGTGCCTTGAAAAGCGCTATATAAATCCAATCCATTATTATTATTATTATTATTATTATTATTACTTTCTTTGAGGCGTCAGGTCTCGCTCATCTTTGCATTTCCTGATTAATCCTGCAAACAGTAAAACAGACGTGGCTCAAACCCCACGGAGGGATTATACAACGACTCGTTGCACACGTACACAAACTGAAGGCGCTGACACGCATTCACAGACGGGACGTTTTTACCTGAACTTGCTGACGGACTGAGGAATGTTTACAGCTGCACAGTAAAAGTTATCATATCTGACTGCAGCAGTAAAATGTCACTAAATGTTAAACTTTATGGGGAAATCTGTTGTTAGGCAAAGGTGAGTCTGCTCTCTGATTGGCTTAAAAATCACGAGTCTGATACGAGAGGTCAGCTCAGCAGGGTTTACTCGGTCAGTGACTCAGACTTGGTGGAGCTCTGATACAAACGCAGATAATACTCGATTGTGAAAAAAGCCATTAAATGATAACAAACTTTTACTGCGGAGTTTATTTTGTGATGTGACGCATGTTTGGGTCTCATTGTCTGATTTGTGGTGTTGTTTCTGTGCAGTTTGCTGCTATAAAAACTATAAGTGCACTTGTTTTACACTCAGGTCAGCTGGTGTGGGATATTTCACAGGTGAACCTGTGAGTTCACATTTGTGTCGGCTGTCAGAAACAGCGCCACCTGCTGGTAAACTGATTGCACTTGTGTAGATGGACGTGAATGATGAACAGATGTGGAGTCTGAGCCAGAGGACGGACTGTGAGGATGATCTCAGGTTTCACTTCAGCTTCTTTGTCCCACCCTCGGGAGGCGCTAAAGAACATGGAGCAAATATGTGATTTGAACTTCCTGTGAACATGCGAACTCTGTGGGTTTATTTTAGTCTTCCTGCTTTACTGTAAGTAATAATTACCCCGGGAGGCATATTTGTGTAGTCTGAATGTGCAGGGACAGGCGGGCACAGAGTTGTTCAGATACGGTCACTTTTTAAATGTTTTCCCTGTAACTCTCTATCACTCTGATGGTCCCAGCGGCTCCTGTTGATGCAGGTTTTCATCATGTTCAGAGGCTTCATGCTTCCAGTTAAATCTGATGTTTGTTTGTTTGTTTGTCACAGGACAGTCGATCACATCATATAAATGTCTGAAATCCTCTGCCTCCTTATAGAGAGACGGCATTCAGGGTCGAGCGCGTCGGTCACATCAGTTATGTAACCAAATATTCATCAGCATCCTCTGATGGTATAATCTGTGAGCTCC